ATGAAACTCTTGACAAGATTTTTGAAAAATTTCACTGCCTTTTACGGTTCGATAGTCTTCACCTCTTATCACTCGGTGAATTTATAGGGGGTTTGAACCATAAAGTTCTTGGTGTGGGAGGAAGTCTCTGGAACGGATGTCCGAAAAAACATTTGCATTGGTTGATTCAGCATTGGTGACAGGTCTTCCTCTTCTGGAACCTTAAAGCCGTTACGCTTGTTTAAGTGCATATCTTCAATTTGGAGGATCGAACTCGTTCACACAAACATTTGCTCTTGGCTAGTCGAGTGGGTTTGGAGGATTGTGCATGTGTACGTTCTTGAGAAAGTCATACTTCTCGTGCACTCATTACATTCATATGCCCATGGAGTTATTTGTGTGCATTTGAAGTGACATCCCATATGGTGCTAACTAATCAGAAGGAAATCAAAGAAATGGCAAGCCTTTTCACTTTCTGTCAATGACTGATTGATTTCACGAATAGACGATTAGGAACAACTGATTGAATGGTAACGCTGTGCAAAATGTAGTGCTGTAAGACCTTCCACCAGGGATCAGTTTGGGCTGAACACATTTATTACAGAAGAGGAAGATTAGCCAAACTAACCTCCAGTCGTTAAGTGATCACAAAGTACTACACTGACTCTCTCCTCTTTTGAGCGAGTTGTCGACGCCCTTCTTGGTTCACAATATGTTTGGTGCCACAAGGAATCGTCCACTATCCAGTCGTGTCCGTCACCAACTACCGTGGCAGTAACGAAACATGCTTGGTCCTCTCAGCAGTTTCAATCGGATCTGGCGTTACTACTGCCCCGAGAACACAGACTAGGGCCTCACACACCTTTTCACCATCAGTTGTTTCCAGGACATGGTCTAAAGCATATGCTTAGCAAAGGAGAGGTGATAAAACTGTCCTACGTGGAAAGGAACTTGACACAGTATCACCTTTGACAATTGTAAGCTCCAAAACGAAACTTTTCCAGATGGCCCAAAGCAGCATTGATTCAGTCGGTAATGGCTTTCCCGTAAAACACAGGAACAAGGTGGAACTAAACGTACACATCATTCTCAACTCTTCTGTTGCAATAAAAATTCAAATAATCTTTCACCAGAATTGTGTGTGCTTTTCCTCCGCGCTGTGAATAGGTGTCACAAACAGAAACAAAAGTTGTAAAAATTCTGGGTTTCCTTTAGCCTGTCACAAGTAGAGCGTCTTGAGGCCTCTCACTAGGTAGATGAGGGCATTAATTTGACCTGAATGCGTGCATTCCGGGAGGCGATGGAAGAATTTTGCTTTACCTTGGTCCAAAGGCCAGCCCACGTGCACAGGTGGTCATATAAACAAAGCATCCCACAAACATTAGGCCAAACAACTAAAATAAAATGTAAGTTTGGTAAAACAGAACGTCAAAAGAGTTCAGAACACTCACCATGGGACAGAATACCAGCAAGACGAGGTAGATCAGTAAGAATGCGAGTAAAGGGGATAAATGTGAGGCCACCAATGTCAGGGAGTTGCTCTTTTAATTATCTTCGTCGAAGTTGGACGGAAAATACGCAACCTTCTGCCTTTGCATCCAAGTGATACAGATGCAGGCCAAAATTACTGATAATAATAGCTACTAACACTTAATAGCCTATCAAGTTATTAAAGAGGCTGTGGAAGTATTATAAATGAGCAAAACGTATGTATTAGACTCCGTACAACTGAGGCTACAAAATCATTCGAAAGAAGGAAAAAATGTTGCAAGGCAAGAGAAGGCGCCCTCAACTTACAAAGCAATTTCGGTGAGGGGTACTCCTCCATATTATTCATGTCCTAGCAACAACTCCAGTCCAGTGATTAGCCGCTTTAAGTGAAGAAATAAACTTAAAAGTAAATAAATTTATGAGAGCCTCAGGGACTAAAATGGATTACCTCTTTGTTCAAATTGCCTTCTTGAGGAGGCTTAGTTGGTGAGGTTCTTGTTTCACTGCAACCTCTTAGTCAGCCTCCATACGACAAAAAGCAAAGTTGCATTTAAATTTTGCATGCAGTGGAACTACATGCGTGTTAAAGGAAGGGTTGCCGGCAGTTGAGCGAAGTCAAGTCCAAGTTGCGATTGACAGTGCCGACATTCGCCCACAGCTGATGGAATGTGACCACACAGAGAGGAGGGCGGTAAAGGTGGGAAGCATTAATGGTGAGAGGCAGCACTGCATGTCATCTGACCCTAAGGGTGGAGGTTTAGGTGAAGGTGGGTCGAAAGGTTCTCTCACCACAGCAAAGACTAGTAATTTTCGGAGTGGTAGGTGACTCGAAGTTTCGTGATTAGCCCTGTAAGGAGGGTTGAGGGATTAAAAGGCAGATGATGTAAAGGGTGAGAGAGAGAGACTTGCAGACCTCTCCACCATTTCACAGACTACGACGGTGCTGATCCTTCCACTAATTTAATCCCTCGCGTGGATGCAATGAATGCGAAATGCATTGCATTGCATTGGAAATGGAAGAGGCGCTTCAGTGAAAGTGCCACAGGCTGTCTTGTTGTCCACTCATTATCAAATTCATACAAAATTAGCAATACTTTTAGTGACTATTTAGGGAAATTCAGGCATACTTCTCACACCTTGAAGAGCTGGGTACGGCATTGCCTTGAACGCTTCATGTTTGTCGACGTCACTCAATCCACTTCAATGCATTCGAGATAATCAAGTTGAAGAACGTTTACACAGTCCAGTGAAGCAAAGCAAATGAGGCCGTCAAGACTTCATAGGGTGGAAAAATGGAATTCCATTCTGGAGGCATAAAAAGACAAAAATGCAACTTGAGCTTAAGTAATAAATAATTGACTCTGTCGAAATAGTCAAACAGTTCTTACTTTCTCCAGGGCGTGAGGAGTGGCTGAGGAGGTGAGTAAGAAAGCTTCACATCATCTCTTAATTTTATGCAGGCAAACCGTTCAAGAGCCTTCGTGTTGACGTGAAAAGGGAGGCTACCTTTGAACCTACAAGTGGACTGCAGATGGTTTACAAAACTGGTAACTTTTAAGGACTTGATCATGGATAAAAGCGAAAGGTATTTATCACCAAAGCGTCAGTTTCTCATGTCACTAGCCTGTCTCTTCTGACAATGTGATTGATAATTTAATGACAATGTTAAGAAGAGCTGTCCCAAATTCCCATTTTACTTAACTTTGGGTTACTCACATTAGCAAAGCTGAAAGGATTGCCTCATGATGGAAATCGTGGTGCCGTAGTCCTCTGAATGGTTACACATTTATCGGCGTAAAGCATTGCTGTGGGCTGAGGATTGATTCGCTCCGAGACATTCAATTGGAAGGGACTTTGCAATCTGTGTCACATCACAGAGCCTCTTCTAAGACCGTCAGCCCTATTGCCAACTCCCAGTTGCATCCAGTCGCTGTATCATCTGCTGATCGACATCGAATCAAACAAATAAATGTCCTCATAGCTAATGGAAGTAAAGTAATTCCTGCTTATGTGAATCAGTGGCGGTAGGAGTCTTGTTTCTTTGTCACTTGGTTCCCACGTGCTGCCGTTTGAGATGCCTGGAGAATGGCTAGAGAATAATTCTTTCGGATGATTTCTCCAATTAGCCACATGCAAGAGATTATGAAGTGGGCTGACCTTGACCGTGGAGCTAAGAGCACCCTCGTGTTCGCTGCAGTTGCGGATATGGAGGCGATTGGTGATTGGTGGGTTGTTTCTGAGGGAAATCACAAAAGCAAAATGATTAACATCACTCAGTACAAAATAGTCTCCCCACTCCAAATGCCAAGGCGGGCGATGCATACAACTGCGGTGAACTTAAGATACACATACAAGTAAAATTACTTTTCCATAAACCTTGAATCCGTCACATTAAATCTAGCGTTCAGCACTCTGTTTGACCGATGGGCATCGTATGCAGGCATTAGGAGAAGTTGTAAGGACAAAAGTTGTGGTACTTGTCGGATTAATTAAAGGATGGAGAAAATTACTTCCATGATTTTCTATGCTGTATGATATAAAGTATTCTCATTTGTGCGATAACGCATCGTGTAGCATAAATCTGACACTCGCGATAACAAGTGAGGCTTTCTTTAAGCAAAAATAAAAGGTACTGCAGCTCTATCTAACTTTAATCTTCAAAAAAATATCATTATTAACTACTTTTAGGACTTCTATTCCAAGTGGTCCTAGCACCGACATAAAAGTCACGCTAGTCGTGGAAAAGCGCCTCCTTCCCTCCTCGCAAAGCTGGAATTGCATCAGATTCCCCAAGATACTCCTCCATAGCTCTGAGTCCTTCCAACACACTCCAAATCCGATTAGCTCCCATCAGCGTGGACCGCTTTCCATCACCCGTGCTTATGGATAGACGCCAGTTTATGAAAATTAAAGGTATCGTTCCTTAAGGCATTGGCTTCCTCCATGCAAGTGAAAGAGCATGTCGCCTTTACAGGTACAGATAACTGTACCGAGTGAGGAGTTCTCTAACCGATAAGCCGATTTCAAAGACCTCGTTGAGAGTGTGCATAATGAATCTGTAAAAAAGTAATTGTGCAGATCAGACCCACTCATGCATCGAGTTTGCGAGGTCTCGCATTCCAGAAAATCCAACAACAGAACGTTTCCTTGGGGCGTTACAACCCAAGTCAGCTCCCAAGTCAATTGCCTAATCCATTCCAACTTCTCTACTTTCATATTCATAACTTACAAACCACTATAATACGTCGTTTGAGTGGTTGCATGAATGTCGCATATTTTGACAACGATTGTTGCTTCTGCTGGCTAAAAAGTTTATTTTAATGATGCCGCTTTTCAAGCTACCAAAATCATTGTCCAAGTAATATGCCCTATAACAAATTATAGGCGATTTTGGAGAGCCACAACAACTAGTCAATTCATTTGCCGTCCCGTCCAAAAGTTTGCAAATGCCTTACACAGTCGCCTCGAGGAGCGAGCGGCACCATGGAGAGGTCAAGCTCTGGAATGTCACCTTCTCAAGAGGGACAAAATGAAAGCGGTTGTCATTGTTTGTCAAACAAAAGTTCTCCTCGGCTAGACAGCCCTACATAGGAACTTGCAACACAGTGGTGAGGTGGGACAGCAATCCGCTGAGGCGCTCCATGGCAGAACATTTAATCTCACGATGTGAATGCAATACACTGGAGTTTGTGTTTAAATGCACCTTGTAGATCAAAGGCAGGATATGAAACGAACATTGTAGCGAAGGGAACACCAAATGAGGCTACTCAAATCTCACTCTGAGGTACACTCCCTCTCCTTGCTAAGCAAATAAATTTTTTTTCCCTACGGAAACACCTGAGATGGGCCCAGACGACTGTGAAGGTGAGGCTACAATGATAACGTTTTTTTGAGAAAAACCATGAAGCGCTAGAGACTGTTTTGCAATGCAATCTGTAGTAATCATTTCCATAATAAAAAGAATGCATAACAAAAAGGATGCATGAAACAAATGTTGTGGTATGAAAGACAAAAATGGACAAGGAGTGGAGACATTATATTCAGCTTCTAAAAGCACACAAAACAGTTGATAGTTCAGTCCACCTCGAGTGGGAGGGCACCACTGCTGAAGTGTGGAAGCTACAATCTTTGCAAATATGTATTGAAGCAAAATTATTAACAAAATCGAGCATTTTGTGGCAATTTTATTAATATTTTACGCAGTGGACATGGCTAAAGTGCTCGAATTCAGATGAGGAGAGTTGAAGCAAGGCGTGATGGGCAAGGTGCCCATCGAAGTGACGGTTGCATAAACAAGGCATCAACACTGCCTCCCTCGCTTGTCCTGAGTGCTGTCCTCGTAGCTCCCCTCGGTACATCCACCGAGTCAACTATTACAACGCATTTGCAGCTGCACGAAAGTATCCACAAGCTAGCCGCTTTTTATGCAAAAATGTTACTAAACATATAATATAAGAGGAGAGGAAGGTGAACCAACTCTATACTAAGATACAATGAAGATAAATAAAGGTAGAAGCTAATAGAACAGTTTTACAGTTGCTCCACGCATAAAAGAAATAAAGATCGGTAGATACATGGGAAGGGAGAAACCGGAAATAACTTTATATATTGTAAGAAATTAAGATCTAAGTATTGACGAACGATAGGAAAGAGAAACTTACTCAAAGAAATAAACTAAGTTAGATTGAAGATAGTAAGTACAAACAAAAAGCACAATAATTTGCTTGTCCAACTGCCTTGGGCTCAGGAGCCCTCCTTTGGGGTCGGCCGGGAGAAGACTTTCCCGACATTTCAAATGGTAAAGGGAGGAGGGTAAGTGTGTAGCTACTGTGATTCCTGCAGGTCGTCCACATGCTTTTGAAGGGAAATCCCGCCTCTGACCTGCTAAGGACAATTTAAAGTATGAAGTCACCTTGTAGACCAATTTTCTTCGACCAAAGCATACACCTCTTACATTTCTGCATGAAAAGAAGCCTACAGACACGCCTACTCCCTCCACTCACCAAATGGGAAGTCGTGAGGCGAAGCATGAGGAAATGAAATTACTGGCGGAAAGGATAAGTACGTTGGCAAAGTGGGAGTGATTGAGCAAACACAGGACAAGATCAAACATATCACCAGCTTTTAGTTGTAAATCAAGACAAACAAGCACCACGAAGTTACTAACAACAGAAGGCGTCCACAACAAACGAGCTTATAGCATGCTCAGTAAATGCAAAATCGTGCAACAAAATGCATTTGAAAAAATACACAATCTGAAATCCACGTACCCTCAGAAGTACATCAAAGGACACACGTAAATCGCATGAAAGAGAAAAAAATGACATAGGGGAAGAAAAATGGGAAAAATGCATCGCTAACACCATTGACAAGCAGTATTCCATCAGTTACGAGCCGTTTAGGAGAGAGAAAAATGACAACTTCATGATGTACAAATGTGCACAATTTTTGGTTAACAGTACCCTTCATCGTGGTTTTGTTGGGAGAGAATTTTCTCTGTGTAGCTTTATTGGGCATTTAAAATGTTCACAAGCTTGGAGAGGGATAGAAAGAGGGGATGTGGCCACTGTGGTTCCACGGGATAGCCCACACAAGCCTCGGTCACCGCGTCAGAATTCCAGTTCCACATCTCACCCAACAAGGCCAAGATGAACACGTCATGTGCATAACATTAGCAACGGCTATCAAGTCAAAGCTAAAAATTTAAAAAAAAAACATTAAGTCGATCTGTATTGCCTATGGGTTATTTAAATGGTGCTCCGTAGGGAAGGGGCGGGAATGCGATTCGAGTGTTGTGTAAGTGAGGCGGGAGACCCCTTCCCTAGACCAGTTTAGATACCACTTGACGCACCTTCTTCTTCTATTCTTGTATCTCTCTTGACGTGTCAAGTAAATCGGCCTCAAACAATCCTCCTTCCTGGAGGACTGAGGTGGAGAACTTACAATTAGGCAATAAATTATTTACAAAACGTATGAAATAGTCAAAAATGAAAAGTGGTAGGCGAGAAATAATTCGAAAATTTCAGAGAGAAGACAAATGACCTCCAGACAAAAAGCAACACATTAAACGCCAAAATTCAACCACAAGATCCGAAGTTGTAGAACCGTAAGATGATATACTACTAACGCGAAAAAAGTATAGAATAAAAAAGCCACACAAAAATCACCCCAACAACTTACTTATTTACTTACTTAAAGAGGGAAAAGGCCAGCACAGCTGAACGCCTCCTGCATCACACGTAACTCCCCATCCACCTCCTCATCGCGTCAGAAAATCGCAGCCTCACGAGGGAGGATGTCGCATTGCTTAACGTACCTCTACTTCCATCCGATTGTTGATTTGAAACCAAGAAATTTAAGTTCATCTTCCCAAAAGCCATTGTTACACTGCTCAACCCCTCGAGCATCCTATGCCCCTCTCTCTATACCCGAGATACGATTAAAAATCCTGTCTTTGCTTATTTTTGAGTTGATTTGTATGCTTCGATGTTAAATCTGCAAGAATGACTGGCCTTGCACAAAACCCAAGTGCAACTCCAAACGGATGTCTCCATCCGCAGTCATTAGTGTCCAGTGAAATCAGTAAGCATGCAGTCTAAGTTATTTTTGGACTCCCAAATCATCATTATTTAGTATCATAACGCCTCCTACCTATGACACAGACACAAACAATCGACCCTTCTGGAGGCACAGGCCTCATTTTCTCACCAAGACGAGATTTCAATGGCTATGGACGTCAACACGTTGTGGTGTAAAATCAACCAATCCCGTAAAAGCTGACTGAATTGTTTTCCTCCTTAAGCCACAGCTACCCCTTAGGACCTTAATGACTATTGGAGCAGCCACAGCACCTTGTCATCCAATTAATTTACCAACACACTTAAGGTGTGCGACCTTCAAGATGTTTGTGAGGTTGCGTTAGTTACTGGTCCAAACATCAGCGATACCACTTACTCCATTCTCTCTGTCTCTCTCTCTCTCTCTCAAGCTCTTCCCTCCTTCTAACTCCTTCAAAGATGAATTCAAAAATCATTCATCTCTTAACCGCCCTCCTTACAGCCTTTCTACTCTTCCTTGCTGTGGGTTACAATGGATGGATTTGCAATGGCAACGTATTCACTGGGGACTGCAGACACATGGAGTACATGCGAATTGTCGGTGGCCTTTTGCTCACCTCCGGTATCCTCATTTGTTTGGCCGCTCTCATAATTATCGTCGCCTTAATCCGCTGTGCCGACTGGATTGATTTTGTCGTCGTTTTTGTGGTCATTCTATCCACCATCTTTTCTGCAGCCGGAGTCTTCTACTACTACAACAATACCCACACCTGGTCTCCCTTCATAGCGTCAATTGCAATGACCATCTCGTTTGTCCTCACTGCCTTCCTTCTCATTGATGTTATTTCTCAACGAGTCAAGTCCACCTAAAGTTCGCCTTGAATAGAAACTGATTTACTAGCTTTATTGTCTCTTCCCTCAAAAGGCCTGGCCTCACGCTCTCAGTCCTATTTTTTTTCCTGATAGTGTCCTTTGATCTTTGGAGGATAGATTTGGAAAATGGTTGTAATTCCTTGTAGAAGGCAATGAGGTTGTAAACCATTCTTAAACTTTTTGCGTATTGGCTTCAGGATTTGGAAATCAGATTTGTTAGAATCCATCATGAGTCTTACACGGTTCTCTAGGCAGCTACTTGTCGAGTCCCTTGGAACGAATTTTCGCCAAAACCAAAAGCATTGCCGATGAAGGCAGGCGATTTTGTCCTGTCACATTAGATAAGAAGGGGACAATTGAAGTAGTGGGTCAAATTTAGTGTACATGATGGAGTTGGTTTTACCGAGGAGTGAATGACCACACCTAATGAGGCTGCAACACCACTAAACACCGAGTCAGAAAGGCTTATAGCCTCAAAAAAAAGAGTGATTTTTACCCGCCAACATCCATCGTGTACTTTGGACTGGCTTATCGCACCACCACGCATCTCTCAATGCAGAGGCTTCAGCTGGCATGACAATACAAAGTCCCTTGTTCAAGCATGTGATTTAGTGAATTAAACCGCAATGCAATCAGAAAAAAGAACGAACAATATTTTAGGAGGAAAAAAGACTATTTCTTTGCAAACTACTTACCAGTTCCAACCATCAGGATTTCCTGCACAGTTGGTTCTTTGACAAATTGAGTGAAGAAACAATGGTGAGTGCAACTCAAGACTTTGGATTCCACCTTTTCCAGTAGAATTTGACGTTTGACAGAAGTAAAATACGTTACCATAGTGCCCTCATCACCTGGACACCGTGGCATGGGCCAGCGATTGCGTGAGTATGATGTTACCCACATGGCTGGTTCACAGTAGCGAGGAGGTGGGCTGAGATGAACTTTGAAATGCACTGAGAGCTAAACCCAAAAACAGTTCCAATTTCAACTACTATCCCTCTTTTTAGCATCAACACTAGGTCAATAACTTCACCAAAGCCTTAAGAGACTGAAGCTGCACAAGCATTTCATGTACTTCCTTCACTGCTCCATTAAAGCGAGGCTCTATTTGGGTTGTCATAGCTCGAGTGTTTTGCGTTCAAGTTAATCGTCTACCCAATGTGGTGACCGTTTTGACACACCGAATTCCGGTTGAGACATTGCAATGGAACACAAAGTGTATTAACGTCAGAGAGCGTCCCATCATCCTCATTATCCACATCCATACACAGGGAGAAAGAGAGAGATTGCTTTAGTGCCTTCTGTCTGCTCCCGCAAATGAAAGCCTTCTGTTTTCCACTGGGGAAAAGTTACCACGGTTACCAATGCATGCACTTGTTCTCCAAAAGTCGCCTGACCTTGGCCAAGTGTTGATTTGAAGCGAGCGTATTAATCAGCCTCCTCTTCTGATTGGTCGCTTCTCCACCGATGTTGATATTTCTACACTTCGCAGAACATGGGATTTCAAAGCGCCGAGTTGCTTTCAGAGATTTAAAGATTCGCTCTTTAGCCTGTCAATGATCTATTCACTGTGAGTGCAAGGAATGAGATTGGTGGTCAGTTTGTAGCGATTCTGAGTGATTTGACAGATGCCATTAGTTGGTGGCTGATTTTTGATGACAGTCATTCATATCCTCACATCTCATTTCTAAAAAGACAAATGGAATTTGTCATTGCAGTGAGTCAACAAATGATGATACAAGGCGGAGTGATGAAAGAATTAGGAAGTTTTGGCCCTGCTATCAACCTACAATCTCCAAAGTAGGTATTAACGCAAACTACTTTGCAGTTAAGGCTTTACTAGGTATCATAATTTAGGATTAAGCCTTATGAGCGAAAAAAAAAGTGAATGAGCGTAAGAGGACGAGGTCAAATACATGCGCCAAGCAGTGGCCTTACACCGACTCCGCTAATTGGATGAGACATAGAAACATTTCACATGTAAGTATGTTATAATTTGTTCTAGAACAAGACTCACACAGCGGCCTCGTGCGACTGCAGACAGACAGCCACGAGAAGATGGGACTACGCCAACAACTCTTCAATATCAGCCTTGCAAGCGCCACCGCCACTCTTCTCTTCATTTCACTTACCTGCAAAGGTTGGGAATGTGGAGGACGAATATTCAGTGATCGTTGTCAGCAATGGGAGCACTACCAAATTCTTGGTCCTCTCCTCTTAACCGCCTGTATTATTGTAGCCTTGTGCGGTTTTCTGATTCTGGTGGGCCTATTCATACCCAATACCTGGTCTGATAAGGTCGCCTTGTTTTGTGCATTCGTGTGTACAACCTTAACCACATCCAGTATTCTCTACCACAATTTCTTCACTGAAGAATGGTTGCCTTGTCTCGCCGCCATGGCGATGGGCATTTCACTTTTACAGATTGCAACGCTCACTGTGGAGTACAACAGAATACGAAAACAAAAGTCGATTGAGTGATCCTTACAGCGCCACCTTTTGGAGGAGTGGAATTTGAACTACTAAGACCGTCGTAACCTACTTTCAATACCATATCTGAAATACATTCTTCCCCTGTTCAAATATGAAATCACACGGATGATAATGCTTGCTGTCTACGTGTGTAGGCACCCAAACTCGTTTCACCTTTGTACGTTGTTCAGTAAATTCTCCGTTTCCATGTAAACGGTAAATGGATTTTGTTCTCTGGATGTGGTGAGGCAGTCTCCTCACCAAGGGGTGAGTTTGCAGTGGGTGGAAGAGTTGAAGTGTACATCGACGAACCAATGGCGAATGACACTCCCACAGGTCTTCAAATAAAGAGAACTCAGCGACTAGCTACGCCTTCTATCGTGACCCAAGCCAATCTCACCAACAACGATGCCCCATAATACGCTAATCTTTGTGACTGATGAGAATAACGAGACCATTCAGCACAGCGCACAATAAGTCTCCACCACTTCATCCATTGTCCTCGTCAGATTTGAATATACTAGCAAGAATGTTTCACGGGTTGCATTTTGATTAAAAAAGGTGACATGCATACCCTCAATCCCTATCAAGAGGATTAAAACAGCACTTTCTAGCCAGTAACTTTCTCGAGTGGATTAAATTTGTGTGTACTGTGTGACACAGTGTAGCACAATGCCTCAAAAAAGGCCTCCCAAGGTTAGCTTCCACCCCTTAAAGTTGATGTTGCAGTAGCCAGTAATAAACATTACTTCAATATTGATAAGACAAGTGGATAAATTGTAACTAACACAAAATCAGTTGTCTGACGAAAGGGATGAGACTGCCTCTAACCCTCCTCCATTCTACTTTAACAGTAAAATGCAACAAAAGATGTAGCAGCAGGCCCTAAATGACAAACATTCCCAAATATATGTCATAAGGGGACATTTTTTTAAAAAAAAACTGCAAAACAATAATAACGACATCGCTACATTGAGGTGGCAAGACAAAACTAAGGGTAAAAGGCTCCAAGTTGGTTGAAATCCTTCTATTTCGAAATTGCAAAAGATGCTATAAAATGTTTATCTTCACATTTCGACAGCTGCCGGGATGTAACAGATTTTGTTAAAAATACAGAATTGGCTCTGGAATCTGACGGAATTGTTCAGCCTTTGAAAGAGAAAAACGACAAGTCGATCGAGAGTCATTGCATCAACGTAAAGTATGTTTAGTTTTCATCCTCCTCTTCTCCTTCCTCTGTATCGTCAGTGGACAAATCCGCCTCCTCCACATCCGATTCGTCCTCTGACATCAACTCCTCAGCGCCTTCTATGGTATAGGACCTGGCATTAGAGTTACTTCCACGAGATGAAACCGACGCAGTGGAGATGGTAGTTCTGCCAGAATGTCTTGCTGACACGTCTCCATCGTGAATCTCCTGACCCGCAAGATCGCGATTTTTCAGATTTCCCAGCCAAAAGGCGTCAGCACAGCGGTTTTGCGATAGTAAGAGCTAAAAGAGAGCAAAGCTTCACAAGACTGGGAGATTAGCAGTCTATGTGCGTCTTCGGAAGGTTTCCGGACCAACCTCCGAAGCCAAATGGAGGAAGGCAGATAAAATCCTGCAATATCACCTAGAAGTAAGGCGAGATAGCCCCACACTAAATCGCCTCACGGATTTACTTCCCACAAATACTCCGCTGCCAGAAATTCCAATAACAGCGACTGGCGCACCTCTACCACAAAGCAGATCCGCTATTTCAGGACCGGCTTTTAATTGTAGTGGCAAATTACAACAACGGGCTACGTAGCATAAGCGATGTCCCACAGTACAACGAGCCTAAACGTGTCCAACTCTGAAGATGTTTGGAGCTGTTGGCGAAATTTTGTAAAACCAACTTCCATCAACGTACAAGTCCAGACAGCAAGCAATCCAATTGGCACCATCAATGAAAATTTACCAATTCATTAGCCCCTTGTCTTTTCATCTCGCAGGCCCGAATAGACTGCCTTGGAGGACAAAAAATACGCCGCTCATTTGTAATGTCTTTGTCACTAGCCCTGATGACAACCTCCGCAAGTGCCCCATCAAAGAGCGATGCTAGGCGCCATATCGGATCCATCACAGACCATGATTGACAAATTGAGATTTGAGACATTTGTAATGTTAGCAGCTCTTCACCTTTAAACCCTCCCGCACCTCCGAGTCAGCATCAAAGTAGGAGAGCACAAAATTCACTCCTATCTTAGTGAAGACGGTCCAAAAAGCCGCAATCACACAAACAAGATGTTCACATAAAAATGTAATTTGCCAGCATCTCCTAGCATCTTTACCGTTGAACCCATGTTGGCCCCACAGCAAAGATACGTGTCGATGAAACGCGCGTCTCCTCCGTATGATGGCATTAGTCTTGTGCCATGCATGACTTGCTTAATCACCCGTAAAAGGGAATACGCCAGTCGACACACTTGAAATGAAATTGCCCCCTCATAGGATAGAGAACACCTCCTTCTCAGCATAGTTTTAACATCCAATGCACGAAATTATCCAGGTACACAGTATTCGTCTTAGACAAGTGGTTACTTCGACGCTACAGAAAGGAGCTTGCAAATATTCAAAAAATATCTGGGAATTTAAAACTGTGTGCAAGCAACAATGATCCAACTATTTCCACATTATTCCATTTTGAATTAGTAACGTGGCTAATCTTTCAGGAGACTGAAGAACTACTTCAAAATGGCAGAGTCTAGAACACCAACTCGTCATTTGTCAATACATCTCGTAGCAGGTCAGCATAGTTACCTTGACACTGTAGACAAAGGCTTCAAGACACTTGCGTGTCTGCGGAATTAGTGGCGTGAGGCGAGCTTCACGTCTCGTCTTGGCATGAACGCAAGTACGTTGAAGAAAGCGAGTCACTTGTTGAACACTCCGAAGAAATTTCAACACCGCTGAACCGTGACTTCTGGAAACACAAAAAGGAAAAGTTGCATGAGCGAATGTGTTGCAGAACAGTTAGGGCCACAGCTCCACATAACATTGCCTTCAGCCACTACAACTTATGCTAGGCTTTCGCCCACCTTCATCATTTCGTCACTGAATGAATGGGGACCTAATTTGTCCTTGTGTTTCAATCTATTCAACCTCTCCGAGTCATGTTTAACGTCCCGAGGAAAAGATTCTTCCATTACCAATGACACCAAGCTATTTGGAGCAGTGGATTCGTTTTTGCGGAATTAGGTAGGTTTTGGGCCACTAACTAAATTTTCCTTCAAGAAAATGAATATGGTGCAAAGTGGAATAAATCA